TATCAATATTTTGTGGTTTCTGTTATTTCTCTCTCCTCTGCACAAATCTCAACCACACAAATTTTACTTTATTATTCTCCGTGCCAGTCAACTTTGGCAAAGTTTTAAGGGACGGAGGTAGTACTTCTGTTAGATGTTTTGGAAAACCTCTTTAAATACAACCTTCTTAATAGTGTATAATGAGTTTTCCTTCTCATGATGTATGAAGTTCTTCAGTTCATGTTTATTCTCAAACTCTTGATAATGTGCCACATATATAGACCAATTCTTTCTAAGTGATTGCGAAGAACGTCAGTAAAAGCGGCTGTTCACATGTATAGACCAATTTTTTCACGTGATTGCTACGAACACAAGTAATTCAGCTAGGAGAATAAAATGACCAAAAACGCTGTTCAAGGTTCTGCGACCCTCAGCCTTTTTTCATAGAACGCCTTATATGAGAGAAACTAACACTTGTGAAATCCATATCAATTTCTCTAGAACGCCTGATATATAGAACGCCTGTTTCAGTCCGGAGGAAGAGCACCTGGACCCCTGCATTCGGTCTCCACAGTAGATTTTACATTGCATTAACAGCAACTGGCATAACTCCATCCTGCCTTGCAATGAATCTTGCAATTTGTACAGCCACTGAAACATTTGGACTCCTGTGTTCAAAGTTGCTTCAGGTGAAATGCTGGTAAAATAAAAGAAACGAAGAAAAGTGTATGATGACTATTAAATTCTACAGAAATCGTAGTTCGATAGCCCTGTCTTGCTCTCCTGGGTGAATAATATAGTATTAACAGCAACTGGCATAACTCCATCCTGTCTTGCTCACTCTTGCTCTTCTTGCATGACAATTCAAAAACACAACCGGGATAGTATTAACAACTCACTTTCACCCCAAATTTCATGTATAACAATGACTCTCTTCATTTTTGTTAAATAAATAATAAAAGTTATTGCCATTTCTATCCATACAAATATCCTTTCAAAAAAAATCCATACAAATATTGCCTATCAGTATCACTTAACTTTCATATTCCAGAAAATCGCATCTCAATATTTGTGAGAATATGCAAACACTGTAGATAGCAAGAGCGCTTTGACGAAAGAGTGCATATAAAGCAACTGTTAGGAGTTTTTTTTAAGAAAATGGATGAAAAAGGATCGCAAAGGAAAAAAATAAAAATAGAAATAAAAGAAATGAGTGGGATGATATGTACAGAGAGCTATCACTCCCTATATGCCTAAAGTAACTCTGCTTTGAATTGGGGGTCCTATATATATATACATATACTACTTCTTGGTCATTAATTCTTATTTAGTATTTATAAGTACATTGTTTCTGAGCAGGCCTTTATTCGAGGATTGTAGTAGTACTATAAAATCAAATTCACAATGAGAATGGTTGTTGAGGATTTGGAAACTCTTGGCCATGTGTTTTTACATGCACTTCCACAAAGTTGAAACAGACTGGACTTACACAGAACCGAGAACAATGAATTAAGAAATAACTGGAAGTGCGTACGTAGTATAAATTAAGAACAAAAGCAAAGAGACAGAGAGTACCCCTACTACTCGTGTAGTGAGAGCATAAAGCCCTAATGCCGAGCTGGGTGAAGAGATGGATGCGGTTAAAATTATAAATTCTGCCCTGAATATCTTGTACTACAAAGGAGCCAAAAACTTACACATTAAAATTCAAGAAGTTAGAGACCTGCAATAAGGGTGTCTTTAAAACCATCATCTTCCTGAAATCGGAAAAAATACAGTAAGAAAAACGAAATATGAGTAACTTGTATAAAATTATATGGAGATGCAGTGAAAACTTAGCTCTAAACATGCACCGGGAATTTAAATTCCATATTTTATATGTGGTTGGGATTACGATTATAACAAATGCTTTAGGTTGTGTAGTATTCTTGGGTTGGTTTAGATCAAGATAATAACATAGCAAAAGATTGACATATGGGAAAAAGTGAAAACTGGAGAATGGCATAGCTAGTGAAGACCAACCGTAACTTATAATATTTGATAAAACAAATAATTGGAGCATGTATGAAATGATCAACTAAGCATTTCCTGGAACATCATATATGCAAAAAATAATTTGGGTATATGAGCCCTATCTCAGCACACTGAATTTGTAGAAATCATTTGTAACTTATGATATTTGATGAAACAAATAATTGGAACATGTATGAAATAATCATCTAAGAATTTCCTGGATCATCATATATCCAAAAATAATTTGGGTTTATGAGCCCTATCTCAACACACTGAATTTGTATGAATAATCTAAAACATATATAATGAATGTTCTCAATAGCCACATAGGAATGGAGGTCATTATTGTAGTTTAAATAGACTATTACTTTTTAAAATAGAATAGATGTATTGTAGTACTACTAATGATAATCAAGAATGGCTAGTTCTATTTTAAGATGAATTTAGTGTATAAAAAAGAGTTAGAAAGAGAGCCTGAGACGATACTAACAAACTGAATAGAGAAGTAAACTTTTGAACTAACAAACTAAATAGAGAAGTAAACTTTTGACTTTGAGAAACTTCCATTGAAATATATTTTAGATCCCAATACACAAACTCAACATATATTGCATGAGAGAACTTGATTTTTATATGGATACCTGAATACATTAAGCATAAATAGGAGCATTAGTCATAAGGAGATTATAGCAACCATATTAAGAAAAAATAAATTCACTATCGTAAATTTTATCAGAGAATGCTTCCAAAAAGTAAAAAGAATAAATTTCTGAGTGAGGTAGATGTTGTTCAGCCAACATTTCTATGAAATCCTACAGTAAATGGAAATGGAAATAAAAGTATATTAGGTATAATAAGATAAGATTGAGATTGACAAACTGGGGGTCCCAATTGAAATTTGACACCCAAGTGAAAGTAAACCAAATATGAATACACTAATTGGGAATTTACCTAAAAACGACTTCAAAGAACATGATTTGCATTTCCAAGGGATTTGATCAATTTTGGGGACTGCTATAAATCTATGGTACCAAGGAGATTTGTGCCATAAGACATGGAAAGGTCTATTAGATAGGTTGGTTACATGAATATTAGGAAAATAGAAAGCCTTTGGCCATATTTTTATTATTATTTACCTGCAGTTCCACAAAGATCAAATAATGTAAACACAAGCAAGGGAAAAGTGTACTGGAATTGCAATCGAAAAGAAAAATACAACATAAAAACCATAAAAGTGGAAATTTCTGTTGTGAAATCCAAAAAACCCAAGAAAACGTATATTCAATCCATGGGGACACACACACACACACACATATTTCTGATTCACAAAATCTTTGTAAGTAATGAAACCAAAAAAATAAATTGAACTATAAAAACTACGTAGTATTTTTTCCTCATATATACATTTCATCGAACAACTTATATGCTTTGGTGTACCTAAAACTCACTAAATATTTGAGAAATAAATTCATCAACAATAAAAGATCATGGAATAAGAGAAGAGGCAGAGTACATAGAGCAGCAATAGCACAAAGGTCGGTAATCTCATAAATTGAGAGCAAGTAGATAGTAGACCTGTTGCTTTTGTACATGGTAAAACTGGTGTGAGATGTGCTCGTTTGAAGACAGATGAAGAATTCTAAATAGCTTTAAATTTGTTGAATTTCGCAAGCAAATAGCTAGGGGCGTGAACTGCGTTCGAAATATAGAAAAACGAAGAATTACAAAGCACGTACCTCGCATATGAAGCTCTGAACCCTAATATCGATTAGGTGAAGAGATGTGCGGTAATCTGGCATATGAAGCTCTGAAGCTGCGGGAGATGTGAGAAAATTTAGGCCGGAAGTTTGGTGAGAGTGCGGAGAAAAGGGAAAGCATAGGCATGGAATTTCTGGAGTAAGTTCGCTAGCAAAAGAACGCTTAAACATATATGAGGGAGCCACGTGGCAGCAGAACGTGAAAGAAGAAAAACTCGGTTAGAGAAACACGTAGGATTTTTTAGGGTAGAAGAGTCTTTTAAGGGGCTATCTCTTTTCTTATATATAAATAGAAATAGAATAGATGCTTTTCAACAATGTTTAGAGTACTATTATGCTTCATTTTTGGTCCATTACTTATGTACGAAGATAAGCTCATAGATTCTATAGATGGATAAACGAGGTTAGTAACTTATTTCATCAATTATATTATGAGTTTCATGCACAATATGGTAACACACCACTTCCCCTGACACAAACATCCTCTTCGTCTAAAGAAAAATCATTTTTGAAATCTACATTTGGCAATCTTATGAAAAAAAGTAAATCAACTCCCGTTGTTGCACAAAGCTCGATTAATGAGCTTTCTTTATATCTAACGTTTCCTGTTGACTTTAAAGACGGGGATGACTTTGATGTTCTGCAGTGGTGGAAGGACAAACAAAGAACGTTTCCAATTTTATCAAAGATGGCTAAGCAAGTGCTAGCAATGCCGGTAGCAACAATTGACGTGGAGCAAGAATTTAGTATGACTAGCAACGTCCTAACGGATTATAGAACGAAATTGAACGCAAAATCTCTAGATACGCTTGTTTGCTACCACAAATCCACGATTGATTGAAGGCCGAGCATAGAACTCAAGAAGTTAGCATCACCCACACCCGCCACTTTATGGAGGAAACAACAATCAACGCCTTCAACGGTGGCAAAGATTTTGACTATTTTTTAGGAAATGTATTTAATGTTTTAAAATTTTCTCAATCCTCAAGTGTAGTTCTCATTTGAAATAAATATAATTTTACCTTTTATTGTCGAGCACTTGTTGTATTAATTTTTAAACAAAGGTTGCAAAAAAAAGCCCAACCCGACCCGTGACCCGTCTAGGTAGCCCGGCCCGACCCGGTCACAGTTCTAACCCAGGCCGGTAACGGGCATGATTTCCCAAACCCCACTCCCGCCCAGACCCGGTCCGACCCGGGTCCATCCCTACTTACAATCATCAAGAGATAATTACATAATAACACTATATACATAATACGTCATAAATGAATTACAATTACAGATCATGGTATAAAACTAACCATAAACAAATTACAAGCATGATGGGGGCACCTAATGTGTGAGTTCATTCATTAGTTTGTACATTCAATAATCAGTCAATCAATATCAAAACTGGGGATTTGATCATAAGGGGCAGCAAGAGCCCTATATGCAGTCCTATCAACAATGCTTCTATATGGATCTTCCTCTCTTTTCTTAAGTAAAAAGGTCATACTGTTTTGAACCTCAGATTTTATCTCCATGTACAATTCTCGTGCCTTTTCCCTGTCCTTCAACACTTCCCACCTCCCCTTTGTTGAAACAGGCTTTCCAAACAAGTAGTACAAGCGGCCGGGGATCTTGGCTAACAATCCTGGGACATATAAAGCTTGATTGGCAACCTCTCCATTCATATCACCCCTGCAATCGTTTATTCAACACATATAAATAAATCAAGTTAGTTTTATACCTAAATTGTCTTAATTAATACCATTGTTGGATCAATAACAAATCATTTTATTTCATCTGTCTAAGAAGGTCTCTTTTTTGTCAAGGTGCGACCTTTCAAGTTCAATGTGGTGCTTCTCTCAAAACTAAATTTATCATGCTTAACTTGTTTGTATCCTTTTATCGCAAATTCCACAAATAACTAGTTGAAGGGGAGCCTTAGAGCACCAATTATGGTGTTGTTGTGTGACCAAGAGATCACGGGTTCAAGTCTTGAGAGCGGTCTCTTGTCAAAATGACAAGGGTATGTTTGCTCCTTATACACCCTTGTGGTGGTACCGTTCCTCAGACCCTCACCTTGTGGGGACGCCAATGTACACCGGGCTGCCCTTTACACAATATAACTAGTTCTGCTTTTGTGAAATACGAGTCTTCTTGGGACAAAAAAGAAAATTGAAAACAAGACCTTTTCATTGGGATAGAGTATTTGACAACTCAGATTAAAAAGAATGGCAACAGTGGAAAGTTGGTATTAAATGCTCCCTTACATAAAATTGTGAACAAAGAAAGTACAAGAATTACTGCACCAAGTTTGGGATAATATGTAAGATGAAAAAAGATAAGTAGTCCTGCAAAGGACAGTTACCTTAATGTAAATCCCATTCTCTCCGCCTTTTCATTACAACTTGTTATTCGGTCACTCAATATAGGAATTTTCATCATATCATCATAATCCAGAACTAACTGCACAAAGCATTGCCACATTACATGTTAATTACTAGATACCCCACCCCCTCCACACAATAACAAAAATATAAATTTTTGTAAATGAAAAAGAGGATGAAGACACGAGAATGTGCAATAGCAGCTTTTAGAAGTAAATGAACAACAACAAAGTAAATTCCACTCACAGGAAAAATAGAATAAAGGATAAAGTCTATAAAAGAAGGCACAAGTTGGTAGAGCATACATGTACTATGTCATCTTCTCCAACAACACCAAACGGCACAATTGTAGCTCCAAACCGAGCAGCCATTCTCACAAATTCTGGTTGGTCTGGCCAAGTTAACTTGTACTCTTCTCCCTGGTAGTTAAATAAGGAAAAACCAAAATCAATCGAACAACATTCTAAAAAAACTAAATACTGCATCCGTCCCATTTTATGTGTCCTACTTTGGTTTGGCACAATTATTAATAAAGTGGTTGAAAAAGTGAAAGTTGTGGTTGAGATTTGAGTATAATAAAGCGAAATGATGTAGACCACATATTGTTTCCAAAAAACGAAATGTGACACTTATTTTGGAACAACCCAAAAAGGAAAGTAAGACGGATAAATGGGATGGAGGGAGTACCATTTTATGAAATTTAAATTGGCTTTAGTGTTTAGTTAGCATTTGGATGTGCTTCTCCGAGCCTCAAGAGGTTCAAAAGCGCAATTTTCTTGTAAAAAGGTGTGTTTAGGTGACTTTTTTAATAGTACTTCCAAAAGGAACTTGAGGGCTTATTTGGATCAATGATTTGGAGTGGGGTGATTTTTAAAATAAATTCGACATTTAACTAGTGAGATAAATAAAGTCACGATAAAGTGCTATTTAGATATATACATGATCTAACTAATCATATAATCATATTCAGTTTAAACTATCAAACAAAGAAAAATTAGTAAAAAAAAAAAGCAATCCTCCCCTTAAAAGTGCTTTGAATAGAGGCACTTGGTAGGGTGCTTCTTAATTTTGAGTTACTTTTGGAGATTTCAATCAAAAGTTCTTCCAAACTGCAGTAGTGCTTAAATGAGAAGGCACCTTCTTACAAAAGCACTTTTAACACAAGTCATCCCAAAGACAAAAATAGGCTTTGGATTGAGATGACTAAAGAGAGAAAGAAAAAGAGCACCTTTCTATGTAAGGCCTCACGAGCACCTCCGGGGTAAAGAAGAACATGTGACTTGTTTGCAAGCAACTTAAAGAGGTTACTAGCTGAGACCGGTACACCCCCATATAGTCTTATGGAATCGTTGAAAGACACCTCATTAAGGCCCTCGTTCTCAACTAATGGTGAAAACAGTGCGGGATGTGCCAAACCACGAAGTAATACCTTTTTTACTGTTAGCATTTCTTCAATTAGAGGCACAAGTTCTAACCCCATAAGCATGTGATAACCAACAAATAACACCGGGCCTTCGTAGGGAACCCCATCTAAACCTCTAACCATTTTCCCATTTTCCAGTGTGGAAAACATCGCAGCACCTGTAAAATTGCGATATAATCTGCACATTTTGCATCTTGTTATTAGTGTCTCCTTTCATTTTTAACATACATTTTACATCATTGAAATAAATACATGTGTTCAAAAAAGTGCTAGTCTCAGTAGTCTGCAACCCAGGCCAGGGGAGGCCAATTGGTGTAGGTGGCTAATACCATATGTGAGCTACTTGAGATAAGCTCTGTAAATAATAAAAAAATCCCTAAATAAAATTAAAAACGTTCAAGAATTCCAAAATAGGACTATCATGTTTTCATTCCCTAATAAATAGGAGTAATCACCGCCATGTTTTGGCATAACCAAACTTTAAACATGACAGTATTTTCTAAACTTGCCAATAATTACTCCTATTTAGGGAATTTTCCGTACTTAAATTTGTTTGGGACATTGTTGAGTCAAGCCAAATTCCAGTAATTTAGTACATGACGCAACGAGCCCAATCGAGCTTTTCTATTGTACGTAATTTCTTTCATATACTAGGTACACATATGATATAAATGTACATGTACAAATAAACACACACATGTGTGTGTGAAATTTTTTATTATACTTCAATGTTTTATAACAATAAAATATATAATTTTTAATATGAATCAATCATAAATGAAAGAAAAAATTAAAAATTGAGCTTATCCAAGCAGAGCTGTTTCAAAGTTTGATTTGAGTTTCGAAAATAGAGTTAGGTCGAGCTCAAGCTTTGCTTTTTAATTCAACCAGGGTTTGAGTTTTGACTATTCGATTTGGCGCGACTCGAGTGCACTCTTATCCTGGGCATGGTCAGGTAGAGCTAAGACAGGATTATGCGGGATCTATCCCGGAAAAAAGATACACGTGCAAGGGAAGACTAACACATAGGTGGCAAATGAATTAAACAACAAACAAGAAATCTAGGAAGCAATTATTTATTTGGAAGAACGAAAACTACCACCTATTGATATCCAAGGATTGCTTGTATTCTGACATGCTAGGTGGGATATAGTCCAAGACAAAGTCGTGGCTCTTTGAACGCCGATATTTGCTTGTACATTTTATGATAGTTAACAGATTGACATGGTCTTCCTGCACAAGTTGTGTAGCATAGCAGGCATTAAACTGGGATTTGAATGATAAAGCTTGCATAAATCATGGAAGCAAACCAATACTCTAAATATGATGATGATCATGATCAGCACTTATCAAAAGACTACTACTGTGCCTAATATCATCACTACTTGGCAGATTCTTCTGTGGTGGAACAAAAACAAGGGTGTCACTTTCCCAATCAAGAAAGTATAATCATAACAAATCCTCATTACCCACCATCAAGATGGTGTGCCCATTGCCCTTAAAGTATCGTACTTTGCAGTTTCTTAATGACCTTGCAAGCCTTTCGGCTTCACTTGCACTTGGAAGCATGCTGTCTTTCCCACTGTCATTGAATTTTACATTTTCAGCATACTTCATATCAGCAAATTCTCCTAGTAATAAAACATCAGTCCATGCTCATATATTCACAGCGAAATGCTAAGAAAAATAAGATACAACTGAATAAAGAAAGTCTTAAATAAAGGAAGATAAAGAACGGGACCTAGCAAGTACAAGAATTTCAGCTGTGACCGCATGGAGACGGGAATTGGCATATTCAGATCCATACTTAAGCAGCTTCAGCTTCCACATTAGTGTTTCTTTTGGTATGATATCAGCTAAAGCCTTACAAATGAATAGTAATAATAATAGTAACAAAAGACTATGATTAGCATTTTGCCTAAATACAGTGCTCGCAAAGAAGGGGAGCCTTGGCGCACCGGCTACGGTGTTGTTGTGTGACTGAGAGGTCACGGGTTCAAGTCTTCGGAGCAGCCTCTTGTCAAAATGATAAGGGAAGGCTTGTCCCTTATACACCTGTGTGGTGGGACCCTTCCCCGGACCTTCGCCTTGTGGGGACGCCAATGTGCACTGGGCTGCCCTTTTTTTACAATGCTTCTCGCGAAAATAGGGAAAAATAAGCACAGAAAGTTCAAGCAACACTCACAGAAAGAATGGGGATCAAAGATGTAAGTTTGGCAGAGAGTTGTTCAATAATGCATGTAGGAGGAAGTGAAGCATCAATACCAACCATTGCCATTTTCATAGGATCACCTGATGCAACAACAAAGAGTACAACTCAGGCTCCAATTGTTTCCTAGAATATTAGTTTCCTCGAATATTTTTTCTGGATTGTCCTGTTTTTGGCAACAAAACCTTTTCCCTGAAAAGATTTTTCCTTTGTTTGGCACCGAAAAATATTCCACTAATACATATTTTATGCGAGTTTTTGATCTTTTGGATAGAACACAAAGTCATTCTTCTGAAACAGTTTAATGTTTTCTAGGACAACATTTTCCACACAAAAACATTTTACAAAACAGACTAATCCTACAAGCTCAACAATCATAAATTGGCTAATCCTCTCTTGCAAGAGGTTTAAACTAGTCCATCTTAGTTGTGCCAATCTCAATCCTGAATGATTAACCACAATTAGTTTTATTGTAAATCATTTCCTTATGCTATGTTTTGATTCCAGAAAGTGTTGGGGAAAGGAAAGAAAAACTTAAGGGAAATTTACTATCCTATGTTTTGCTTTTACCTTGGAAAATGCAAACTTGCAAAGTGAAACGAAATATGAATAAAGTTTCTAATTTTATTAAATATATTTAGATTTCTTAGCATTTATATAAGAGATATAAATCAAAACACATGAATTGAACAAATAAAAAATGAGTTAATCAATGTTTTATTATCCACCACATTATTTACTTCCAAACTTTCTTCCATAATCTTCTCTCTATTTTCTTTCCTTAGTATTCCCGAGTTTGACCCCAAATTATTTTGGGAGTAAGGCTTGGATGTTGTTGTTGTAGTATTCCCGAGTTCCAAAGGAACCATTGAACACATTGGAAAAACCAACCACCATAAATTATGATGCTAACTCGCAAGCTGATTTTAGAAAAAAAAATCTTTGGTAGGCTATACAGAATGAAAAGGCAAGGAAACATACCCATAACTAAGCTGAGAAGATAAGGGACAGTAAATTGAAGACTAGTGGGAATTGCTTCCAGCAAAGGAAACAATGGTTGCAGCTGTGACCGACCGAATGAAGTTGCTAAAATAAAAGTAAAAAACGTTGTCATCTTCAGAATGTAATAGCACTAAGCTTTGTACTAGAATTACCACAATAATGAAACTGCCAAAAACAAATATCAACCTGGGTTAGCTAATATCACAACAAGGTCAATCTTAGGATTACGAGCAGCGATAGCAAGTGCTAAGCATCCTCCAAATGAATCTCCCACTAGATAAATAGGCATATTGGGAGATGAAGCATGCTTCATCCTTATAGTTTGTTCAATAACTCTTATCAACCCTAAAAAAGGAAATATAGCTCAGAATACAATTGTTAAGAGAGTGCCATGCATAAATGTTAAAGAGAGACATAGAGGTTAAGGCCTTGAGTGAGAATTGAGAAATTAATTGGATCCGATCTTAGTGTAGTCTACCACAGTACCACCCAATCCCTAGTCCCCACTCCAGGTTTGTGAGAAGAGCATTATAGAGGTGAGAGACTCAGTTTGTTATAATTAAGTAAACCTAACAAACAAATAAAAAAGCTATAATATGCTACCCGCTGCAATTCAGAGCAAGAGAAGTTGGATGACCTTCAAATGGAGTTCGATCGTGCACGGGAATATGCAAGCACCAGAGTTCAAACACTCTGCCAATAAAAGAACATAACAATTGAAATGACACACTGAATGTGGACACTGGAGAGTTCATAAGAACTGTTTTAGAAACCGTCATAAGTAAAATGAATTTCTCAAATGAAGGACACAGTAAATCTGGTTGTCATTTACTATACTCGACAATCATAATGAAAGTTTTCCAGGTTCTCCTTCTATAGATGCACAGACTAACCGGGACTCCTCTATCGTCAAGGGCAGTCCTTTACTACCACACAGCGAGAATTACAAAAAACATGTGTATGGTTCATAATGTATATAAACGTACTTCCCCAGTGCCTTTTGGTGCAACGCGAGACCTAATCCAGTTCCATCAGCTCCTGCATACACAGAATGCAAGTTTCTCTTATTGGAAAGCAAGGAAGTTAACATAACAAATAAAGAGTACACTATGTCTAGAAATGTTAAAATTGAAACCTAGCTAGTGCAAAATGTGAGAGAATCCTTATACTTGCACGGGTTCACATAAACAATTATCAAAGGGGGCATGGAAAGTTTCTGCATCTCATATTTCAACCTATACCCTTTCTAGGCACAATAGATGTGGTTCCTGTCAACAGGGTGTATTTGGAAGGGGATGATGAAAGGGAGAGCGGGGAAGGGTGACATTTATTTTATCAAGACGACTTGTATTTATTATGCACGTGACTCGCGTTGACTCCTATTTGAAGCAAGTTCTTATTTTTTGGGTAGTAGAGCATGGTTTTAACCGAAGATATAGTTATCTTAAATCTAAGAATAACAAATATGAAAAAAAAAAAAAAAAAAAAACTACGTATTATTATCATTATGATTATTAATTAATAATTGAAGATAGTAGTAGGTGCAATGGAAGAAATGCGTTTCAGTATAATGGGAGCTTACCGGGCAAGAAAAAGAGAGGGGGTGAGGGTTTGATAGGAGGACCAGAGGGGATTGGTGAAAACCACCTTGGAGGTCCACCGTCAGCCTTAATAATCTCTTTAGCTAATTCAAAATAATCCTTAACCGTTATAGTCCCATATCCATCGTCCCACAGAACCTCCAATTTTGTGTGGCTACCATTTACAGATGCAGACGGAAAAGCCCGGCTTGCTAAACACTGAATTCCAGGTCTAGTTTGCAGCTTGCTATATGAATTCCGAGGGGGGGAGGGGGGTAAACTGAATTTCTGGGAAATTAAAGCCATAGTTTCTGGGAAAGATTGAAACTTGCAAGCAAGCAAGCAGATAAACTGGAAAGGCGATAGATAAAGTGGGAGTTGTTTATATATAAATAAGATAGAGATGGGAGTGAAGTCCTCCTCCTCCTCCTCCTCCTATACGCAACCCCAGCATAAGTTCATTGTGTTGAGGGGGAGGAAGAAAGAAACAAGTAAAAGAGACAGTGGAGTGTGGGAGTAGCATATATGGGGAGGGAGGGAGGCAAAAGATGTATGTGGGCGGTAAAAGAGGAAGGAAGAATCGAGTGAGTGGTTCTGAGGAACACAACAAAGGAAGGGACAAACAAAAGCCTTTCCATCCATCTGGTTCAGTAGTTTGTGTTGTGTGGTGACAGCCGAAAACAGCACTATAGCCAGCCCCTGCAGGTATCCTACCATCACCTTCCGTCGGTTGTGATTTCTCATTTATTATTATCACCACAATACTTTGACTCCCTCTTTGATAACATTATCTTTTTCGTCATTGAATTGTGTAATAATCAAATTAAGTGAGATTGAGGGAGTGTTTGCAATTGCTTCAACTTTAAAAAAGTGATTTTTTAAAGTGATTTTGGGAAAAGTGATTAATAGTAAAAGTTGGTAGTGTTTGAGAAAAAAGTGATTCTGGAAAAGTAAAAGTTGGTAGTGTTTGGTAAAATAAGTACTTTTTGTGTAATAGAAAAAGTGAGAAGCAGTTTAAAGCACCCTTCTACCTGCTTCCAGCTTTTAACTTTTAAGTGATTAATTTAAGCAGAAGTTATCATTTGAAAACACTCTTTTCAACTTTTTTTAAGCCAAAAGCTGAAAAGTGCTTTTTTTAAGCAAACCCAAACACTCCTTGAGATCTCTTTTCTGGTTGAAGTTATTATAGATGACCATTTTAAAAACATTTTCTTTATTTCATTGATATGATACAAAGTATATTTTAAATATATATTTCATAAATCAGAAAAATCAAGCAATCAAACCACTTTCAAGTAGTCATGGTTTGGTGTCCGCGTCCATGTCTACTTTCAAGCAAACATTCATATTTGAACAAATAAAATACTTAGTAAAATAAAAAGAGAAGAAATTAATAAATCTTAACCGAGTCCTGTTCGAGTAAGGAGCTCTTCACCAGAACCGCCGTGCGGAATTCACTGTTTGGGGTTGTTCATGGTGGAATTTTTTTATGAAAATATTTTGAGCATGTTCTTCATCAAGTCTAGTTTATGTCTACCAAATTTCAGCTTAAAGTTCAATCGGGAAAATAGTTAAATAAATTATTGAAACATATTGCACTATATATATAGCACAATTTTTTCAATTCCACGTTAGACTGACTTCCCGGTTGAATTTTTAGCTGAAATTTGGTGGGCATAAACTACACTTGATGGAGAATATGCTCAAAAAAATCATCAAAAAATTTCACTTTGAACCACCTCGGGAGCTCCTGACTCGAATGGGACTCTATCTTTACTTATATGAGTATGCGAAAGAGATAATGCACTTTTCCAATTTTTTGGAACAAAAGTGTATTCAAACTTTTTTTTTACAGTTTTTGTGATTAGTTTGAAAAAGTTCAAATGTATATACTCCCTCCGTCCCCCTAAATTTGTCCCGTTTTACCTTTTTCGTCCGTCCCATTAAGTTTGTCTCATACCATATTAGGTAATGTTTGAGTGGTTAGAATTCATTCTTACTTTATTCACACTTTATCAATTCAATACCAACCACACAATTCTACTTTTTCTTAAAAACCACACCACACTCATTTGTCCCAAACTTAGGGGGCAGAGGTAGTGTTGGGTTAAGGGCCCAAGCCGAGGTCCGGCCCACTAACCCATGTTGCCAGACGCACGTCCAATTAGAACACCAGGCCAGCCCACAGGCCCATGTCCGTTGAGGATGGACGAACGTCTGGTGTTGGGGGCTCAGGCCCAGCAGACTCATCCCGACGAACGTCTGTGCAGGGACAAGGAGCAGGACCACGGGCCACCAGGGATGGCGACGAACGTCTCCGGGGCAAGCCTGTAGTCATCGGAGGGGACCCAGTTCACATGGTGAATATCTACAAGGCCAGGAGACAAACAGCCGATATCTTTCGAGGGTCACTTGGAGCAATCCAACTCACTTCCCGGGAGGACGAACGTCCCCACTAATCAGGCGGAAAACCTAGATTCTGGCGGGAAGTGCATTTAATGCTGAAGATTTGGTAGTTGGGACACCAGCGGTCCACAGGCTGCCACGTCAGTACAGCCACCTGCCTATTGGTGGGTATAAATAGAAGCATTTAATTCATTGTAAAGGGTTGGCAACTTTCTATTCTTAGCATTCTGGCTATTGTATTCTTACTCGCAGCATCTCTACTGCCTTGTAAGACGAACGGCCGACGTGCCCTTTTTAGCAAGTAGATTGTACTTAGGGGAGTTATTACGAAGTTAATAATACCTATTTACATTGCCTGCTATTACTTTTGTTTCCTGATCCATCTCATAGTTGTTGGGCTAGATATTCTTACACTTACTCCACTCGAAATCTTTGGGCTTACGTGTTGGGTCCAAGGGTTGAAGGAATAAACCTCAACACTGGCGCCGTCTGTGGGAAACTGAGCAAAAAGTTTCCAGAAGCTCTCCCGAACAGCTACTAAGTCTACCTACAGCAAACACGATGTCAGGAAGCAACAACCAGCGTGATCTCTCCGAGCGTCTGGAGTCGAGCCGCCGGAATCGCGGCCAGAACTCGGAACTATCCGCAACAATATGGACCTCTGGAGGAAACGGGGGAATCACTGATCTCATTCCCCTGGAGGCCAGGCAGGATCCCCGCCTCATGCGGGAACTCGCAGACACCATGCGTCGCATGGCGGACGAGCGGGAGGCCCGAGATCAGGTGTACTCTGCAAGCACCCAGCGAACGCCCCTCTCTCCCATACGCCGCATGCAGTCGTATGACGATACGACGGGATCCAGCGACCACCGGCCCTCAGTCCACGAGCGGCTAGGTGGGGGTTCAGGCTCCCGTGAGACGGGAGGGCGAACCAGGGTCAGCATCGCTGCATCCAGGGCTCTCACGCCATCGGTTCCTCGCCAGATCCCGCGGGGAGACGAGACCCCAAGGGTCAACGCCGTTGGACGACGTTTCCAACGGCGAGGTGCGTAGATCTTCAGGCGGCCGCACGATGCTGTGGCCGCTCAGCAGAACGTCACCCCCGAAGCCGCGCCCCCTGTGTCCCCCGGAAGGGCCACACAGGACGCACGGCTGGAAGCCATGGAGAGGCAGATAGCCGAGATGAATAGGCGGGCGGACGTCGGCTCGGCCACACCCTCCTTCTCTCTCACATCACCCTTTACTCCACGGGTGATGAGCGTCGAGATCCCCCGGGATTGCAGACCCCCGGGAAACTTGGTGTATAACGGGGCTGGCGATCCTAAGGCCCATCTGATAAGCTACCAAGGGAACCTCTCCATGCTGGGAGCATCGGACGAGGCCATCTGCAGATTGTTCTTCAGCACCCTCAGGGGCCAGCGCAAGAATGGTTCGGGCAGTTGAGGCCGGGCACCATTGACTCATACGAACAACTCTCCCGGCAGTTCATGGCACAGTTTGCTGCCAGTACCACCCCCAGGAAGGACGTCACGGCTCTCGCCCACATCAAACAAGGGCGGGACGAACCGCTGGCTAGGTTCCTGGTAAGGTGGAGGGACGAGGTACTACAGGTCGACGATCTGGACGAACGTCTGGCCACCAACATGTTCACCAGTGCGCTGGCCACAGGGGATCTATACCGGGACTTGAGGAGGAATCCCGGCACCAGCTACACCGAGGTTTTGGCTCGGGCACAAAAGTATGCCTCCATTGAGGAGGAGATCAGGCAACGGGACGGAGTTCCCGCGGCCCAGCCTAGGAAAATGGCGGACAGGCTCGGACCTAGACCGGGACCCGGGCCCTCACCCCCAAGCAAAAAGAAGAGGGTGGACGGAGCGATGATCCCGTGGAAGGCTCCCTCCGGAGACAGCCAGACGCGGCCGGACGACCGCTATATCCCATTGGCCTATCCGGTGAGCCAAATCTTCGAGGCCATCAAAGACAAAGGCCTCCTGACGGAGCCCCAGGATATGAAGAAGCATATGGGGCTTGACCAATCGGCCTACTGTGAGTACCATCAGAGGATCGGCCACCTGACGGACAATTGCAGCCAATTAAAGAAAGCAATCGACGAGCTGATCCGTCAGGGGTACTTGGGCGAATTCACCCAGCTGCTGAACAAAAACAGTCAGCAGAAGCCGAACCCAAGGCACAAGACATGGCGCCGCGACGACCGGCGCGAGGCGGAACCTCAGGACGTGGATTATCGAAGTGCAGATAAACGTCCGGAGGGATCCCTCGGCCCGAAGGGCAAGAAGAAGAAGTTGGAGATCAAGGTGATCTTCGGAGGCGCTGAGACT